CACCCATTCACACTGGTCAACAGGTGTTGCCATCATGCAGGTTTTTCATGCAACAACTCCTGAAGTCCTATTCATTTGTATTATGTGTTGAATTTATAGGAATTCTTTATATATTTTGTCATATTTTTATGTTATATACATTGCTTCTCCGCCACAAGTTTGTGACAATAGTTAAAAGGTAAATTTTTCATTGAAAAATACATCGGGCGTGGTGGTACACACCTTTAATCCCAGTACTTGGGAGGCAGAGGCAGGTGGATTTCTGTGAAGTCAAGGCCAGTCGGGTCTACATAGTGAGTTCCAGGACAGCTGGGGCTACAGGGAGACCCTGTCTCAAAAAAGAGCAAAAAGAAAAAGAAAAATACATCTATAGATAGATATAGACAAGAAATTTTTTAAGTAGTTAATTTAGCCTTAGAAGAATTTACTATCCAAGAATAAAATAAAGCCAGTTTCAGTGAAGATGAATAGCAAAATGAAAAGTTAGTGGTTCACTTAGCAGTGCAGGGTTTAAAAAGTACAATTAATGAAGGCATTATTTACAGTAGAATTTCAGTTAGAATACTCTTCCTGTATTTTTTCCATCACTTTGACTCCTAAATATAGATCTTCAGTTCCCAGCTTAGACATCACTTCCTCAGGAAAGCCTTTCTTGACCTACCGACTAAGCTAGTTTAAATTTCCCCTCATACATTTTTCACTAAAACCAATAATCTCCCTTCCTAAGCATCTAAAATGGCCTCTACATGGAGCTAGAGAGATGACTCAATGTTTAGAGAACCTACCTTCAGTTCCCAGCACCCAAATGGTGACTCAAAATCATCATGGTGACTCAAAACCATCTGTAACTCCAGGGGATCTGACACCCTCTTCTGGTCTCTGTGGGCACCGCACACATGTAGTACACTTACATACATGCATACAAAACACTCATACACATAAAATAAATATTTTTAAATGTCCACTACCTCTTTGCCTAATTTTTAAATCCTCATTAGAGTCCACACCTTATTAAATGAAAGAAACTAGAGGTGGGGGGTAGAGGTAAACATCTGACACTCATTACTGAGTTATACTGGAATTTTAATGTAGCTCTCCATTTTCCAAAAAATAATTTTTTAAACTTTTTCCACAGGAATCTTCCTCAGTTCTCTTACCTGCACAGCAACTCCATTTTTTCTAACACAGACTTAACAGACACCAAAATGGTCAATGAATAAAAATCAGTAACTTGAGTAAGAAAAAAAATGCCTTTATTTTCATTAACTTGTAACTGAAATATAATATTTTCTTCAATTTGAATGTGGGCAAAAAAACATAATATTACTAACAATGATTCTTTATCAGCATAAATCAGGATTATTTTTCTATCACATTATAGTTGTTACAAATGCCTCAATATATCATTTATGTTCATCACTATTTTGAAAAATTATAGTAACTACTAAACTCATCATTAGCTTTTGTTATTTAAATTATTAACTTAACAGCACATATTACTACAGTCACCAACTTGAGGAGCTTTTAAAAATATCTTAATAACAATATAATTTGCTTCCTTTCTAATTCCTTATGTTTTAGTTTATGTACCTACAAATATTGTTCTCCAGAGAACAAAATTTATATTAGTCAAAAGCCACAAAAAAAAACTTTAAGACCCTCCGACTGAACAATCAGCCACAGCTCCTTGGGCAAGGTAATTCACACCTACAATCCCAGGAAGCTGAGAGGAGAAAACTCCTGCAACTTTAAGGCCAGTCTGGGCTACATAGCGAATTCCAGGGCAACCAGAGCAGTAACAAGATCCTATCTCAAAACAAACAAACATACCAAAAAAAAACTTATAGCCATTTCTCTTCTAATGTGTCTTTTGCGTGAGATGGCTCAGCTGGTAAAGGTGCTTGCCAGGCAAGCCTGACAACCTGAATTCAATCCCCAGATCCCACAGTAGAACAGAGCTGACTCCCGAACAATGTCCTCTGACCTCTAAGTGCTCACTGCAGCACACATGTGTGTGTGCCCCCCAAACACACACCAACAATAATAATGATAATAACACAAAGAAACTATTGTCCATCTTTTATCTGGTTCAAGGATTTCTAAAATATCAATAGGTGGTAAAGGAAAAAACTAACTTCTAGTGAAAAAGATATATGTTAGCTACAGTGAGATAAAAGATCAAAAGGAAATCAGATACTTTACAAATAATACAATCAATAACGTTTCTGACTTCAGGCTCTTACTAATTTGGACCCAATAGTGAAAGGTGACAGAGAAAGGAATGAACCTCACTGAGACACAATGAGTGAGATGTTTCATATTAAAGCATGATGAAAACAGAACAATACACCTGTCTACCCAAATAAGAAGTTTTCTTTCAATTGAAAGGATAATTATTCTAAGTAAAGGTGAAATATCAAGGGACATAAGTAAAAAGAGTCAAAATTATTTAAGGTGTTTTTAAACAAACCTATAAAGACTTAAAAAATAATCAGAAAAGCAGAGTGCTAGCGTGAGGGTGCAGGCAAGAGGAAAGATGAACTGCTTGAGTCGGAGCTTCCCTTTGACCTTGAAAGACCTTGTAATCTCACAACAGGCAGTTCACCGCACTAATAATACAAGGAAATGAAGCCGGGAAGAGGTCGAACACCATGAAGAGTCAGCCAAAAGGGAAACTGTTAGTCAGTATTTCCAGAGTGAATGCCATCTGATTCTATCAAGCTCTGTGACCCTCTACAGCCCTGGACACCTCTACTTCACGATGCCCGCAATCAGGAGCTTATTTTTCTAAACTCCGTTCTATTTGGAAATGTTTGTATTTATCATCCTCAATATCCTAGTAATTCCAATTGTAACAAATTCATTTTAAATAACACTCATATGATCATCATTTTAAGATACTAGAGCTTGGGTAGTTTTTGGTCTGTTCTTGTTTTATCAATAGAAATATATGAGTATTTTGGTAAAAATATTGAGGGACTAGGAGCTAACCAGTGAAAGGACTACTGATATAAAGATGGCATACCTCCAACTTCTTGGTCTAAGACAAAGGGGGGTTTCTCTTTCCAGTGACTAGTCCAAACCACTTCAGATAAGAAGGGGGCATCGAGGCTGGAGAGATGGCTCACCAGTTAAGAACACTGGCTGTTCTTGCAGAACCCACATGGCAGCTAACAACTGTCCATAACTCCAGTTCCAGGGGATCCAACAGCCTCGTCTGTCCTCCCCAGGCACTGCACGACACGGGTGCACATACCTACATGCAGGCAATACATGCATACAAGTAAAAATAAAAATAATATTTTTTTTTTAAGAAGAAGGGAGGACATCTAACTTGAAGCCATAAACCTATCGGCTTTCTCTTTAAGTTGACCAATTCAAAATTAGGTGAGAGGAAACCACTAAAACCCTTAAAAACTTGGACCCTCCCTGGGGGACCTGGATTTTCTGTTTCCAAATCCCCTCTCCACTTGTGAGTACATTTATGAATCTTCATCTTTCAATAAGCCTGTTTGCCTGTTGCTCTATGCTGTGTCTGAGGTTTTTCCTGTCTTTTAATTCTTTAATTGGCTGAAAAAACAAGCCCAACCATATCTCCTATATGGGGACTCGAACCCTAGCCAGTAACAATATGTTAGGTAAACTGTTTACTTACAGAAGACAACTGAAAGCTACAAGAATTTATCAAAGAAACAAAATATGGATGTTACTGTAAATTGTAGAATTTACTGGCAAGGGATGGTGATTTGTATAATGTAAAGACTTTTATTTATGGACATAATCTGGGCTAACGACTTTCAATTAACCCCAGCAAAACCATGCTCTTGGGTCTGATGACCTCATCTTTTTTAAATTATTTTTATCTTACGTGTATGAGTGTATTCCCAGCATGTATGTACGTGCACCAGAATCCTGCAATGCCCATGGAGGTCAGAAAAGGGCATTGGATCCCCTAGAACTGGAGTTATGGACGGTTGTTGGCCTCCATGTGGCTTCTGGGAACTGAACCACAGTGCTGGGCCCTGATGATCTCAAAGTTCATATGCACTGACCCTATTCTACCCAAGATCACACTCCGCAGTACTGCAGCCAAGGACGTAACATAAATGGTAGGAAAATACACAACTGGGAACACGTGACAATTATTGTGCAGCTCTGAAGACTCATGTTATTGTTCCTTACTTTAACATGTGTGCTTCCTCTTTAAAAAAAAAAGGAAAGAAAAAAGTGGTATTGAGCTGGGACTACAGCCCAGCGACAAAGGGCCTGCCGAGCTAGCATGTGAGGCCCTAAGTTCAAACCCCAGCGCAGACGAGGGTGGAGAAACCCTGGCCAAGGGGAAGGGCACTTATACCAGAAGACCCGAGTTCGAGTCCCAGAGCTCACACGATGTAGGCTGAGCACCAACAACACAAGGTGTTCCCTCGCCTCTACACGCGCCGCGGCACGTGGGGGGTCTCTCTCTCTCTCTCTCACACACACACACACACACACACACACACACACACACACACACACACACACACACACACACGGTAAACAAGCATTCCATCCAAGGCTTTGGCCTTTGGTGCTGAATTTCAACTGAAACGTTTACGTCATTAAAGAGAACGCTGACTCCCTGCGGCTTTTCCGGATGTTACTCGTTTCTCTCGTGGAACTTGCAGAATGACGTTCTCGGGACGCAGCGGCCACGCGCGGAAGGCCCCCGCGCGATCGCGAGCCTCACTCGCCTCAGAAACTCACTTTCCCGGCATGCTGCGCGCGGAAGGCGCCGGGGCAAGGACCGCCTCAGCCGCGGCGGAATCACAGAAGCCCGAAGGCCCGCCGACACCGCCAGGGGGCGCCGACAAGCACGTCCTCCTCCGAGCGCCCGCAGACCCCAAACCGGCCCAGCCCGCCGCTTCAGAAACCTCAGAGCGCGCCTGCTCCGCCCTCCCTCCGACTGCCAGCGAGGCAAGCGCTCCTGCGCCTGCGCAAACCCGTTAGCCACGCACCGAGCGACGGCGCAGGCGTCTCCTCTCCAGCGACGTGCCTCCACCCCCTGTCGGCGCAGTGGCCCTTTCAGGCCTCTGAGGGGCGCGGGGACGGTGGAGCATGAGGCTGTCTCTCGCTACCGCCGTGTCCCACGGCCGCGTCTACCGCCGCCTGGGCCTCGGACCCGAGTCCCGCATCCACCTGCTACGGAACCTGCTCACCGGCCTGGTGCGCCACGAGCGCATCGAGGCGTCATGGGCGCGCGTAGACGAGATGAGGGGCTACGCGGAGAAGGTGAGCGCGCGGTTCGGGGACCGGCTGGCGGCACGGGGGGAGGGGTGGCCGCCGGGTCAAGCGTCACCTGGGCGAGCCCGGCAGCACTCTGCTGAGCTCGGGGCTCCCGTGCTGTCATGGAAGGACTGTTAGGGCCGGGTATTGGGGTGTGGGGGGGACCGAATTGCATGCGTAGTTAGTGGGGTGCCTTGATGCGCCCGGTTCCGGCTCATGCTGCATCCGTGATGTTTTGTCCTCACAGCTTATCGACTATGGAAAGCTAGGAGACACCAACGAACGAGCCATGCGCATGGCTGACTTCTGGCTCACGGTGAGTGCTCAGGACGCACTGCTTCCCAAGCCCCACTCTGTGCTGGTGGGGTCGGGGGAGGGGTCGAGGGAGGATGGAGACGGGGCAGGTTCAAACCCGAGCACCCCCTTACATACCAGTATTATGAACTGCAGTAGAACCCCGTCTAGTTAGTTGAACTGGTAATGAATACGATTCTGCACAACTGCCTGTAATTGGTTCTTCGGTGTAACCCGGTAACTCATTGGGTGCTGAGGGAGGCCAGTGTATGCTGGGAGTGGTTTGAAAGCCCCTTTTTTTGTGCTGACTGCCTGCTTCTGAGTAACTCTCCCCGTCTGTCTAGGAAAAGGACTTGATCCCAAAGCTGTTTAAAGTACTAGCCCCTCGGTTCCAGGGTCAGAATGGGGACTACACAAGAATGGTACAGATCCCAAACCGGAATGAACAGGATCGAGCCAAGATGGCAGTGATTGAATATAAAGGGAACTGCCTCCCACCCCTGCCGCTGCCTCACAGAGACAGTAACCTTACACTTCTGAACCAGCTGCTACAGGGACTACGGCAGGACCTCCATCACAGCCAGCAAGCAAGCCTCCAGAGCTCCCATGAGGTTCAGACACCAAAGGCTTAACTGGAGCTGCAGAGCACTGTGATCATAGGCCTTTGCAGCTCTTGGAATGAGAGAAGTGGAATTTTAAAATGGACAGTCTTAATGGGGCCCAGACCTTTCTGTGGGGTCAAATGGCCCTCTCTTTGCACAGTAGATAAAATCCTTTATGTAAAAACATGTAAACTGACTTTCTTTTCTTACCCTAGGATTTCTGTAAAGTGAGAAGCATCCAAATGCTCAGTCTGCCTGGGATAGTAAATTCATGGCTTATGTTTCTTATTCTTAGAACTGAGTTGCCTTTTGGTGGGGGGAGAGGAGTCTTGCTCTCTAGTCCAGGCTGCCCCTGCCTCCTGAGTGCTGGAATTGTAGGTGTGCACCAGCACCCCAAGCCAGTTAAGCTTACTTCAATACTAGTTTAGATGGGCCATGTAGCTGTTGATTTCAAGCTGGCTTCTTAAAGGGGACTATGTCTGACATCCAGCCTAGAAGACTGAGCTGTTGGGATTTCTCTCTCTCTCTCTCTCTCTCTCTCTCTCTGTGTGTGTGTGTGTGTTTGTGTGTGTGTGTGTGGTTTTGCTGGCTTATTCTGGTTTGTTTTTTAGGGAATTTTTTTATTAGCATATAAATTACACCTAATAATGGAGTTTGTTGTGGCATTTTCACATACCACAATATAATATATTTTGGTCATATTCAGCATTACCCTCAGCACTCCCACCAATCCCCTTCCTCTACCCAACTAATCCCCCTCTGCTTTCTTGCCGGTGTGTAACCCAGTGACTTTCATTAGGGTTGCTTACAGGAGCATGAGCACCTTATCGGTGGCTACACTGCTGAAGAAAATGGCCCTCCTGGAGCAGCCATTAACTGCCTATAGATCTTCAGGGAGGGGTCAGGCCACCTGAGCCTCTTGCCTTTCTTGGACAAGAGTTTGACAAACCCTTCTTGTGTGATCACAGCTTCTGTGAGGTCAAGCCCCTAGGATTTCTAAGAGATTGCTTCCTGGTAAGTGGCAGTGTGAACCTCTCTGCAAATGAAGCTTTAAGTAATGGGTACCCCTGAAACTGAAAGGGAACACTAAGCTTTGCTGTTTCCAGACAGGATCACACATTGTTTATGTGCTTCCCTCAACTTCTGGATTTTGGACGTAGACCTGAGAACTCAGATGTACCACCGCCTTGGCAGCAGGGGTGGAGGCTTCTGACGGGATGTTGGCTTTCATTTTAAGTTCCTTCCTCTTGGGGAGGGTGTGAAGAGGAAGACTGAAGGGAGAGGAGCATTAGAAAATTAAGCCTGCTTGGAATTTCCTGGAAGCTTTAGTTGTTGTCAAAACTGGACTTGTGTGGGAACTCAGAAAGAGGAAATCCGGTTTTAGAATGGCTGGAGCTTGTAAGAAGCAAGGAGCTCATTCATAACCACTAAGTACAGTGGGTATCACCCAGCCAGGCTGTCATTCCTTAGGTTCCGAGGCTTGACTAGGGTAGTCGTGGAACATGAAAGAAGTTACCACCCTGTCTGACAGTCACAGCCTCAGAAGAGCTAGAAGGGATCTTTAGGCTTTACCTTCACAGATACATTTGGCCTTCGACCTCGTTGAGATAGGAAGGTTGGAGGGTCACAGGACTAGCAGAAAGCTTCCATGACAACTATTCTGGTACTGTTTCTCTGCAGCTGTCTGGACTAACTGACCCCAACAGAGTTCTCCTTTCCCTCTACTTCAAATTATCTTTTACATTTACACCAGAAAGTTTATTTTGAACTTCATGGGGGCCCAGCCACAATTCACCTGTTCCAAGTCATTGAGAGTTGGCCTTATTTTAAGGATCTGTGTTTTCCTAGATGTTAATGATGACTCAAGTATCCAGCTAGGGTGAATATGCTAAGCCAGGAAGAAGAATAACAGTTTGCAAAGAAACTATGGCATTACATATTTTACATGTATTTACTGGGGTCGGGGGGGGGTGCTTGTATTGTTACAAGGCAAAGTCAGAAAACAACTTTCTGGACTTTGCTTCCACCATGTGGGTCCTGGGGATCAAACTCAGATAGGGTTAGTGGCAAGTGTCTTTTGCACCCCCCCTCCTTGTGTGTTTATTAAGCATCTGCCAGTCCTTGGATCACCATGCATCACCATGAATTGGAGCTACCATGCTTATCTAATGTTTATATAAATCAGCCCCTGACCAAATGGAATACAGAGATTGAAAGAAGCCTCTGCCATCAGGGAGTTCATAATCGGGTGGGACACTGCATCTCTAATACTGGCTTCCAAAAGAGCGTGAATCCTAGAACATTTACTAAAGGCTCAGGAAAACAAAGGGAACTAACAGTATCCTGAGTTTTAGTAATCTGGCCTGTATTTATAAATTACCACCTCAGCAAGTGGAATGTGCCTCAAGCCTTACCTAGGCACTGTTTAAATTCCAAACCAAAGAGTCACCCTCTCCCAATAAACTAACCTTCTCATCAGTTTGAAAGAGTCTCCATGTTGGGCTTCAGTTCTACAAAATAAATGCCCCTCACCCACTCAAAAACTAATTTAACCTTAGCAGTATGAGCCCAATACCTGTAATTTTTTTAATTTTATTATTTTTATTTTATGTGTATGCATGTATTGCCTGCATGTAGGTAAGTGCACTCATGTCGTGCAATGCCTTCGGAGGTCAGAAGAGGCTGTCGGATCCCCTGGGACTGGAGTTACGGACAGTTGTTCCCTGCCACGTGGGTGCTGGGATTCAAACCCGGGTCTTATGCAAGGACAACCAGTGTTCTTAACCACTGAGCCATCTCTCCAGCCCCCAATACCTGTAATTATAAAAGCCAGTAACTTTCCTTACATTTATCTTTAGTGGAAAATGTCATTTTATTTCCATTCTCAAATCTGCAGTTCTCCCTGATGGGAAATCCCAGACATCGCTATCCTGGACTCCTACAGTAGCCTCTCTTGCCTCCCTCCATGTTGCAGCTGTAGTGATAGAAATCTGATCATCGTCATTACCTGGCGATGATCTCCAGTAGCACATTTCCTAAGAGACAGAATCCAGACTCCTTACAGTGTCTCCCCTCTGACCACGCATTGGTTGCTGCTCCAGCTACGCCTGGCCTCTCGTAGGCTTCAGAAGTATAGAGAGGTTCTTTCAGTTGTTCCCCTGTGCATAGGTCCCTTTACCACTCTTGTTAATGCAGTTCCTATGGCCCAGAGACTCCACATTTACCTGCCTAATCTGCGCATAAACTTTTCGATGGCTCCCTGACCACTCCCATTCTTAAATTCATGGCTTTGCCAAACTAGATACATCTGGAATGTTTCTGTAACACTGAAATTAGCCATATTGCATTTTGGTTCCCTAAGGTGGATCCCCAAATATCCATCCCAGAGTAGTCTAATGTAGATACTGAGACAGATACATCTTTTTCCTTTGGTGAAATCAGAACAGCTTTAAGTATATGGTCTGTTCTACTGGGTAGGGGTAAATTGGCATAATTTTCTGAATGTCACAGAGAAACCAGCATTAGGCTGAAGACAGCAATGAGAATCAAAGATTCAAAACTAGAGGAGCTGGAGATGCTCAGTGGGTAAGAGCACTGGCTGCTCTTCCAGAGAACCTGGGCTTGGTTCCCAGCACCCATATGGTAGCTAACAACCATCCAAAACTCCAGTTCCAGGGGCTCCAACATCTGCCCTCCACAGGCATTGCATGACATGGGTGCACTTAATATACATGCACAGGAAGCACACATAAAAATAAATTTTGAAATTTAGAGTAGTTAGAGCTCCCAAACTACAATCCTAGTTATAATGAAAGAATCTTTCGTGGTTATTGCCATTTGAGCTTGGAGTTTGTTAATTACTACCAAAAGTAATCTGAAACAGTGAGTTTTGTGCCACTGAACCTTTAATGTTTCTCAAAAAAGTTTTTTGGACTATGACTCATGAAAAAACACTTTATCTCAACACAATATTCACATACATATATAAATGAAATAGTTACATATGCTTCATGAGAGTTTCTTCTACAAATATGTGTCACTTTTTAAAAATACTAGTCCCGGGTCTGGGGAGATGGCTCAAGTAGCTGTCGTGCTGACCTCTCAAGCATAAAGATCTGAGGTCAGATCCCAGGCACTCGTAAAAAGCTGAGCTTGGGGCCGGCAAGATGGCCCAGTGACTAAAGGCACTTGCTGCCAAGCCTGAAGACCTGAGTTCGACCACAGAACCCACTCCTACAAGCTGTCCACTGACCTTGTCACAGTTAGGTTTAGTTGTCAATTTGACACACCTGGGAAGAGGGACCCTCAACTTTTCAACCAAATTGGACTGTGGGCCTGTGACGTGTTTTCTTAATTTCTAATCGATGTAGGAGGACCCAGCCCACTGTGGGAGGTGCCACCCCTATGCAAGTGGGACTGGCTTGCATAATACTAGCTGAGCAGGAGCTGGGGAAGCCAGCCAGTTAGCGTTCCTCCATGGTTTCTGCTTCAGCTCATACCGCCAGGATCCTGCCTTGAGTTTCTGCCCTGGCTTCCCTCCATGATGGGTTGTAAGGTGAAATAAGCCCTTTCCAAGTTGGTTTCAATCAGTGTTTAATCACAGCAACAGACAGCAAACTAGAGCTGACCACCACATGCTCACTGTGGTGCACACACACACAAATAAATGTAACAAAATTTTTAAAAATAAGCTAGGTGTGGTGGTGTGTCCTGTAATCCCAGTGCTCAGGGGGAGCAGGGCAGAGATACGAGGATCCCTGAAGCTCATTGGCCAACCAGCCTAACCAAATCGATGGGTACCAGGCTCAGGAAGAAATCCCTGTCTCAAAAAAACCTGACATCAACCCCTGGCCTCCGTGTGCACATGCACACACCCACAGAAACACATATGTGTAACATACAGAGAGTACTAATCCCAGTTCACTAAATTGATTTTACAATCTACTAACAAATTACAAAACTGTTCTTAACTGGTCTCAATCAGCATTTCAGTGGCTGAGCATTGCCTTCGTTGGATAAAATCCAGACATTACACATGGTACAAAGGCCTGCAACGACCTGGTCCTTGCAACATTTCAACTACGGCCATATTCGACTCTTGCTGAGGGTTACAAAACAATAAGCAGTACTTTGTATGGGGATAGGCTAAACTACACTGTTGAGTATCCAAGACAAAAGAAATGGTTTCCTTCCTCTCCAGGGACTTCAGTGCCAATAGTGATTGTCAAGAATGTAAGCATATGTCTAATTAATTTCCCATACGTTTGATAGAATATTTCTGGCCAAGC